GCCATGCCATGGCCGCTGAGCCTGCGCGTCCGGAGCCTGTGCTCGGGAGAGGCCACAGCAGTGAGAGGCCCGTGTACAGCAAAAAAAAAAAAAAAGAAAAAGAAAAAAAGGACTAGATAATCAAGGTGTGCAACTGAAGCGTGAAGCGTCTTATTTACAGATGTGCTGGTGTCTTTACTGATAGTTAATAAAGAGTGCTTAGGTAGTATTTCACTCATTAGGTCATGTTTAGGAACTTTGATTTAAAAATTTTAAGCTTTAGAACTGCATCATGGTTGTCAGCAGTTAAAAGAATGTTCTAAGGGTAATGAAAGTATAACCATTCATGTTAAATTTTGTATTGCAAATACATAATGCTTTTGATGATCTCCTCTTGTTATTCTGAATATGTTCAGGTAGAGTAAGATATTTAGATATGTCCCCAGGTATGTGTTTTATTCTACTCTGGGATCATAATTCGGGGGTTTGAAAATTCCTGTTATTCTTCTCTTTTGAAGGATTGCCTTGAAGAGTTCTGAACTCCTTTATATGTATGGTGCCCTGGACTCCCGAGTGAGAGCCTTGGTGTTCAGTATCCGATGTTGGGCTCGAGCACATTCGTTAACGAGTAGTATTCCTGGTGCTTGGATTACAAATTTCTCCCTTACCGTGATGGTCATCTTTTTTCTCCAGAGGAGATCACCCCCTATTCTTCCAACACTAGACTACCTAAAAACCCTTGCAGGTGAGACTAGAAGCATGTATTTTCTCTCTGACATTTGAATGGATAGAATTACCATGTGTTATCAAAACCATGTGTGTGTGTTTGGTGGTCATGTATTTTCAAAGCCTTATGAATCTAAAATTTAAGAGCTTTTAATTTTCTTAATGTCCACCAGAGGTCATGAGAGCAGATGATTTGTGAAGCTGAGGCCTTTAGAATTTTTTGAGAGTTCTATCTTGTGTCAGTTGGCAATGTTGTTTACAATCTCCTGAGCCAGTTGGAACCTCTCCCTTGGTTTACCAATCTTGGAATGACCTTGGAAAAAAATATATCCCAGATGCAGCTTCTGATAGGATCCCAGCTTCAGAGATGGCTTTCCAAGTCTGAAGCTATTTCCAGATTTCTCTTAGAGATGCTAAAAACTGTTTCATGATGTTTTTTTGTTTTTTTTCATTTTAGCATCTTTTTTGGATCATAATTGCTTTACAGAGATCCTAAATTTTTTTTTTTTTTTGGTTAAAGCTTGTAAGGAATCGTAGGTAAATGGTTTTAAAATTAGTATACTATTTAATTTATATTTTAAATAAATTGAAATTTTGATAGACTGCTGGATGAGATACTAAAGTATTACAGTCCTAAATTCTAAAAGGAAGGTAATTCAGGGATTTACTCAAAGTGTATACGCACTCCATCTTCTGCCCCTCCTATATATTGCTGCCAAATAGTTCTTTTAAAATACATCCCTGAATCGTCCCTGTTTAAAATCACCTTAAAGGAATTTTATTCCCTATAGAATAAACCTCAAGCAGTTGACTTAGCTTATTGGTGTTTAAGATTTTCACCTGTAGCCACGTCCAATTTTTCCAACCTCTTCTCCCACCATTTCTCTTCATGTGTTCCCACGTTTCAGCCAATACCACGTTCATAACATTTCCTCTTAGCTCTTTCATTTATGCTGTGTGTTTTTCTTCCTAGAACATGCCTTTTCTTCTCTAAATTCTTTTAAGTTCCCTTCCATGCCACTTTTCCTTATTATTCAAATTAGAAGTAATCTCTCCTTTCCTGTGAACACTGTAAATGGTGGTACAGCTTGAAAGTAAGCTTTAAAAAAAGCTCCATGTGGCAGGTTAATGGAAAGTAGCAAGTTTTCAGGGAGGTGGAGTGGTGAGCCTGTGTCTCATCTTTGAGGTTGGGATAAAGGGCATCGTCCGCGCCGGTGCTCATCTCATCGTTTGGTGTCATTCATTCAGTAAAGATCTGTTGGTGACTTACTATGTGTCAGGTATGATTTTTGGCACAGATGATGTTCTCAGGTAACTCAGTCTAGTAAAGAGGTTAAGAAACAAACAGAAAACATGGGCAGATCTCACCAGTAAGCAGCCTGGAAATAGCACTTCCTGTTCAGTCCCTGCTGTGTGCCCTGATGCTTGACTGCTCTCCTAGAAACCATTTTGGGGAAATGTCATGGAATTTTGGAGTTCAGAAGCTAAGAAAGAGTAGAAGCTGAAAAAGAGGAGCAATTGAGGCAGGTTTATGTTGGGGGCTGACTGCTGCTAACATCGTGATTGTTGTCTTCCCGTCTGACGAGTGCTGCCACCCCGCCACGCTCAGGCCCCTGGCATCCCCGCCCGGGGAGGTTTATACTCTGCTTCTCTCCTTCCCACTGCTGCATTCTGAACAGAGTGATTTTCAGAAATTCATGTCTAATTGTAGTATTCTCTCTCTTGAAATCCTTCAGTAATTTCCTAGTATCTTTTTTTTTAAATTTTCACTAATAGTTTCAGAAAAAGAATATGATTTGTGAATGAATTAAAAATGACATGTTGGCCTTCCCTGGTGCCACAGTGGTTGCGAGTCCGCCTGCCGATGCAGGGGACACAGGTTCGTGCCCCGGTCCGGGAAGATCCCACATGCCGCGGGGTGGCTGGGCCCGTGAGCCATGGCCGCTGAGCCTACGCGTCCGGAGCCTGTTACTTATATCAAACAAAATAGACTTTAAAACAAAGACTGTTACAAGGGACAAAGAAAGATATTACATAATAATGAAGGGATCAATCCAAGAAGATATAACCATCATAAATATATATGTGCCCAACATAGGACAACCTAAATACCTAAAGAAAATATGAATGCACATAAAGGGAGAAACTGACACTAAATAATAGTAGGGGACTCTAACACCCCACTTACATCAATAAGCAGATCATCAAGACATAAAATCAATAAGGAAACACTGACCTTAAATGACACATTAGACTAGAAGAACTTAATAGATGTATATTGAATATTTCATCCAGAAGCAGTACATTCTTTTCAAGTGCACATGGAACATTCTCTAGGATTGAGCATGTGCTAGGCCAACCAAAAAAAAAAAAAAAAAAAATGACATGTTGAGTTTTTATTCCAAATCTATTTTAAACCAAATTTAAATTTATTCACATCTTATGGCATCAAAACGGACAAAACTCGTTTGGGAATTCCTTCATTTTCTACTTAAAAATACCAAGTTAGTTGTTGAAAATTCTTCATGTTAGTTTTTAAACATGGTCAGAGAAATTTGGGGGCCACTCCAGTTGCTTCTTTCCACATAGCACGTTATAGGTGTGAATTGCCAATAAATGTAAAGCGAATTTGATGTTGCTACTTTTTTATCTTTGGTTTTTGAAGTTCTAGTGAAATCTTGAACTTGTAAAATAATTTTTTCTGGATGAATGTATATGAAGGATGTGGTGAAGGTGATTTTGAGGAGAATTTGTCAAAATATTTTTTTCCTACTCATTTAAGTGTTTTTCAGAATCCATGTTTTTTATACTTTTTGATTTTAACCAGTGGTCCCATACTGATGTACATTCAACAGTATATGGCTAAGAATAAAAACAATGTTAAACAGTGAAATAATCAAAGCCATCTTGAGCACTCCATAATTAAGCAGCTGAGGGACTTGTGTCCTGTTACAGTCCTTTTCTTCTAAACTGCGCCTCTCATTTGATATTCAAGTAGAGCCTGTCATTTGTGTTGTTCCACAAAGAAGACAGTAAGACCCCGTTTACTCAATTGCCTGCCTGCTTGCCTGCCTGCTTGTTTGTTTGTTAGTAGAAGGCAGCGTCAATTTCTGGAGCGCCTGTTAGCACTTCTAGGACTTTGTCAGCCGCTGTTTGAAATCCAGAAGTTGAAGTCCAAACTTCTTATCCTTGTGTTTCGGGTCCTTCGTGGTCTTCGTTTTCCTCCTCCTCTTGTACCTTCCCTCTTGTGTGTAGATCGGGAGCTGCAGCCCTTCTGCACTTGTGCACATCTCTGTGCCCTCGCCTGAGGTGGCCTTTTCCTCCTGCCTCCTCTTCTTGCCTGGAGGACCTCCTCATCATCAAGGCAGAGAGGACATGCCCAGTCCACAGACTTGCTTGTTAGCTCTTTCCTGGCTTCTCTCTCCCTGCTGCCTCCCAGGAGGCAGTGCCTTGTCGGCTCCCAAGTACCTGGAGCGCACCTGGCTGGTAACAGTGGGTAGATTGCTGTCGTTCTTTTACCTGCCTGCCTTGGCCAAGCTTTTCTAGGGCAGACTGTCTGATTCGTCTCTGCATTTTCTGCTCCTGGCTTAGAGAAGTTCAGTAAATAGGGTGAAATGATTGGATGAACATTTTAAAGTTGAAGGTTGTTTTGTACTGAGCATGATGGCAACTTTCGTATTTTGGTTATTCTTGAATTTTTGTTTCTTTATCTTTTCTTAGTCGCTACTACTTTCCCCCATGTGTCTTATTTTCTTGCGTTTTCTGCCCTTTTTTTGGCTTTGCTACCTTTGTTATATTTACTTCTGTGTTTAATGCTTTTAATGTAGCATCTTCCTCTTATAATCAGTTGTTTGATTAGAGTTCTTTTGTTTAGGATTCCTGCTTTTCTTTCCTATGACGAATTAAAGGTTTGAGGAAGAAACGACTGGGTAGTGTTTTCAGCAAATTTGATGCGGAGACCCCAGCACAGAAGAGAGCTTTATTTGCTAGCTTTCTGTGACCCAGTAACAATTTATTGAGTACCAGGCACTTGGCTAAAAAATTTTATGCATCATCTCAATTTCCTAAATTCACATAGTTAGAACATACTAGAGCCAGAATTCAAATGCAAGCACTTTTCAGAGCTTATACTTTTTTTCAACTGAAATATAATACACATCAAAGTGCATATATATGTATGTGTGTGTGTGTGTGTGTGTGTGTGTGTGTGTGTGTGTGTATAGATTTTCGCAAACTGAACACACCTCTGTAACCGCCACCCAGATTGGATAAAGCACCTAGAAGTACCAGCTGTGCTCCTTTCTGGTCACTGTACACCTTCCCCCAGCCCAGTCTCTTCTGACAGCGTAGATGAATCTTACCTGTTCGTGTCTCTTATGTAAAAGGTATCACGGAGTACATATTCTTCTGTGTCTGGCTTTTCCCTCTCAACATTGTATTTAGGAGATTCACTCATCTTATTAGTGCATTTGTGGACCATTCATTTCCATTGCTATGTAGTATTCTGTTATATGAATATTCCAAAAGTTTTTTTAAATTCTATTTTTGGTGGACATTTGGGTAATTTGTAGTCTGGAACTATGACAGGTAGTGCTAGTGTGAGTGTTCTGGCACATTTCTTTTGGTGAGAACTGAACACAGGTACTCATTTCTCTCCAGTGTATCTGAGGAGTAGAGTTTCTGAGTCTCAAGCTTTGGTAGAGACACTGCCAAACAGTTTTCCAACGTGTGGACTCCCGCAGGCCCAATATCCAAGTTGCAAACGCTGTTGGTCTTTGCCAGCACCCGGGATTATCTTTTGTTATGTTATTTCTTCTCATTGCATGTGTCGTGGCATCGTGGTTCGTTTTGATTTTCTTTTCCCCAGTGACTAATAACATTGAGCACCTTTTCATATATGTATTAGCCATTTGGGTATCTCTTGTGAAGTTTCTGTAAGTCTTTTCGCTTATTTTTCTGTTGGATTATCTGTCATTTTCTAATTCATTCGTTGGAATTCTTTACATATTCTGCACGTGAGTCCTTGGTCACGTGTTCTGTATGTATATGCGTATCTGTGTATCTCAAATATGTGCACACTGGTTCCCTTCACTCCCTTGATAGTGTCTGATGAAAAGGACTGTGGCTTTTAAAGTTCAGTTCTATCAGAGTTACAGACGCGCATGGTTATTGCGGACTTTGTGACTGTAACTCGCCCTCTGGGCCTGTGCCTTCTACTCCTTCAGTCTCTCACTGTAGCAACCACTTTTAACTCTTTTATCTGATCTGTTTAATATTTTAAACCGTATTTCCAAAATAAAATCCTGAATTGCTGTTTCTTGAATTTCCTTTTTTTTTAGCGTTCGGCACCGTCTGTGACTTCCCTTTATGGAAGAGGAGGAATAACTCTTCCTCCTGTAGGGCCCTCACACATACACACGTATTTTCCATCCCTCGTATTGTGACTAGAGCTGTAGCGTGATCTTGCTGTGCACCCTTGACACTATTGTGACTGTGGAAGCACTATTCATATCTGATCCACGGAGTAAAATAAAATTAATTTCCTTTCCTGCCCAACTTTTTATATTTTTTGGAGTTAATAGTTTTTAATATTCCTTATTTATTTTTCTTTGCTTAGTTTTTCATGTACTTAACATTAATTGAGTCTCAAACTTGCCACGAGTTATCTCAATAAATCTTTTCTCAAAATAGAAGCATCAAATATTCTGTTAATTAATTCTTCTTTACCTAGCCTCTGTTTTTTAAAAATAGTTTTTTATTTTATTTTGTTTAGTCTCATGTTAGAGGCCTTCCTCAGGTGTCTGGTAATCTTTGAATTTCTGCTCATGTTTGAATTAGAAACTAAAAAGCTAATCTGAGTCTCTGAGCCCAGGTGGAGCTTGCTGGCTGTGACACACAGTATAGGGCCCGGCCGGGCTGTTCTCTGGGGCTTCAGAGTCCCCATATCCAGGTCATTCCTCTGGGGCCGCAGGCTCCCCAGAAAGGACTCTTGCGATCTTTTTCTCTGGCACAAAAGGCCTGGCTGCTGGCATGCTGAAACTTTGGCGTTTATTTTTTATGCCATTCATTGCATTTAGAACAATTTTCCCACCGTCAGCTGTGTCTTACATCTCCCAGTCTAGAGGTTCTTTCTTCTGCCGTCTCCAGGGTAAACGCGACATTTTCCATCAGGAAGAGACCTGGGGTCGGGGGAGGGTCTCAGTGCTTCTGTCACCGTCAGGCGTCCAGGCTGGACCAGGTGCTTCAGCTCCTGAGCCATTGGGAGCTCTGCCTGGACAACTGGTTTCTTCTTGGCTTTCTTTACTGCTGGTTTAGGACGCGGTGTTTTCACATTGCCTGAGTCATTGCTGCTTGTGCATCTGTTCTTCATCTTAAAAATTTTGGTTGCTCTTGGCTCTTCTTTTCTCTACCTTTAAGATTGTATGTCATTTTACTGTCATTTCAGTGGTGCTTTGGGAGGGGGTAAAGGTAGATGCCCGAGTTTATTTTGCCATCTTTACCCCAGAGGGGCTGAGTGTCACTGGAGCACGCAGCGTGATGCTGGGGGGGCGGGCATAGAAGGACTTGGCCTTGTCTGTAGATTAGCACGGGTGATTAACAGTAAGTAGTCTGTGTTACAGATGCACATGTGTGAGGAACAGCATCTAAGTATGAATTATTCTGGAGTCGAGTGAGCTACGAGGCATTAGAGCTGTTTTCAAGGGGGGTATATAACCATGACACTCAGAGTCTTCACAGAGTTAGATCCAGGTACTTGAGAGGCGATCCCTTGGATGTGCATTTTCAAAAATCACTCTGGCTGGTGGACTAGATGGAAGCAAAAGGGCAACTGCCCGAGTGTGTTACCCCCGCCCCACTCCCAAATATTAAAGAGTTAGCCTCACAAGTGAGTGGGGCAGAGTCACCTGTCACCTGTAGGTGTCTCTCAGTTACTGCTGACCCATGGCATACTGGAAGGCTTGGCGCTGTTAATAGTTATAATAGAAGCTGAATGTAGTTAGTTATATAATTGTAGCTATTCAAGTTTAATTCCAGTAAACTCTTCTTATAAAAGTAGGACATTATAAAGGATTTGTTACCAAAGAAAAATTAATCAGCTTTCATATAAACTTGATGCCTGTTGTTATGTCCCCTGTTTAGATGCCCGTCCACTTCAGGTTGTTTGTTAGAAACGCATGTGGCTGGTGCAGTGTTGATTTTGGCTCTTTCGAACAGAAAGATGAACCGAAATAATTATATAACCCCATAGATATGATTATCTCTACTGCAGCCCCTAGTAATCTATCAATATATACCAACTCTTGCCAGTTGTGATCTCTCTGGCAGATTGTGGGTTATGGTAGTTCAGTATTAGTTCCCTGAAAAATGTGGGTACGTTTATCAATCTGGATATGCCTGTGAGAATGTTATTCAGTGAATTTCATTTGGCATATGTATCATGTTGAAAAACAGTAGTTGCTGTACCAATCGTTGAAAATCTAAAGATTTCTAAAGGAAGCAAGAAAATCAAATTTAGTAAATACATAATCTTAATTTTTTTCATATAGTTTTTAAGTTCACTTAAGGGGAAGGACTCTATTATGAGTGAATTAAGGTGCTTACATGGCTGTTTTTTCCACAGCTGAGAAAGTTTGTATTTAGTTAAGAATGTTTGCCAGTGTTTCACACAGTACATTTAAGAAGAAAGTCATTGCCACGGGAATTAACGAAGAGTAATAGGGTATCTTACGTCTGAGTAGGTTGAGAATCATTTCTCTGTGGCAGCACTGTCCAGTAGAACTTTCTGTGATCATGTTGTACATTAGGGCAGCCACTTGTTATCTGTGGCTATCAGGCACTTGAAATATGGTTAGTGTGACTGAGGAACTGAATTTTTAATTTTAATGGCCGCATGTGTCTAATGGCTGTTATATTGGACTGTGTAGCTGTTGTTTGGGTGATAGTTTAGTAGCAGAAAAACGGGGGAGAGAAAAAAGGGGAAGACTTTAACAGCTGAGTTGTTTCTTAGGTTTGCATGCCTTGGGGATTTTGAAAAAACAAAAATGGCCCTATCTTAAATCAGAGGATAATTTTTGTCCTTTAAGTTTTACTACTTTGTTAAAAACTCTTTTAGTGAAGACGAGCAGTCATAGACAGAGTCTGTTTTTCATCACTGTACATTCCTAGAAATACTTTAATGTAGAAATGCTTTAATGTGGATCTCATTTTTCTATTAGAATTATATTTCTGGGGGAAAAAAAGGACATAGCAGCTAAAAGAGCATCAATATATGTGACTGGCCTGTGTCACAAAAAATATAAACTGTTGATAATTTGAAATAATAAAACATATGCTCAGGTCCCATAAAAAGTAGATCTAAGTGGAACTGTATATAAGTTCTTCAGTTGTATAGTAGAGTACATAAAATTTGCTACTAAAATTAATTAATGGTAGAATCTGGAATGCTTTTTGACAAGTCAGTAACTCAGGTCTTAACCAAAAAATAACCAAAATCATAAAAAAGGAGAGACAGAAGTTGGAAGGAATCTTGTTTATCTCTTTCTAAATTTCTTTCTGGCTGTTATAGATAAGCACTCAAAGTGAAATATCAGCAATCATTCAGATTCTTGGTTATGTGCCCGCTGTACGCTGGACTCTGTTGTTGTGGACTGGATGGGAGTGGGGAGGGAAGGTCATCACTGCCTTGATTGGACAGTGGCCTCTGTAGCCCCAGACTGGGGTAAGGGAGCAGACAGCATGCACACAGTCATAGCACAGTCGGGCAAGTGCCGATGGAGCACGGAACAGAAAGGCTGGAGCGCCAGCTTGGAGTTAGGGAAGGCGAAAGCCGTTTTTAGGTGGCCATTGACTAGACTTTTCAGAATGGGAGTTTGCCTGCATGTTGTACAGTGGAAGGTAGGTTAAAATGGTTGCAGGATTTCATGGTAGCTGTATATTTATTGATAACTAGGGAAATGATTACCTCTGAAGATGTATATACTGTTAGGAAAGGTGAATGTTTAAGTCCACTGTGCTGTTAAATGTGTGGTACTGAATCCCAGTCACTCTAGAGACCTGCATCTTAGAAATTACCGGAAGGTTTTCAAAATTCTTAGAACATTCAATTTGTATGTATCGTGGATGAATTGTTGAAAGTAAACACACAAAAGGGTGATAAGAATGAAAATGGAAATTAAATATTATTGATCAAAGATAGTGCCAGGATTTAAGTTGGTGAAAGATGGGAACTGTCTACATTTTCAGCTGGAAAACTGATGACCTCAAAAGATAGATTAGGAATCATCAAGTGTTGATAGACAATTCTGGTTTGCTAAAGTACATGTGAAGTTAATTTTACCGAAGTAAAATTGCTCTCAAATCTTTTTAAATCGAGTTTTAATCCTACTAACCGTCTATACTATATATAAAACACACTGACTAATAATAGGGCACATTTATCTGTAACTTTGATTTATGTGATTATAGATTTCTGAAGTAGGGAATATCTTTGAAATAGAATGTTAAATATTTTCATTTCTGCTTATTTAAGATGCAGAAGATAAGTGTATAATAGAAGGCCACAACTGTACATTTGTTCGCGACTTCAATAGAATTAAACCTTCAGGAAACGCAGAAACACTAGGTAGGTGTTTTCTTGTTCTTTGTTCCTTTTGGACCGAAACAGACTTTTTTATTATTTTCCTTGTTTTATTTTCTTACAGAATTACTACTGAAAGAATTTTTTGAATATTTTGGAAATTTCGCGTTCAATAAAAATTCCATTAATATTCGACAGGTAAATACTGTTTCAGTATTTGGTTATTAAGTACATGGTCTTCTACTGCACTAATATTTAACGAGTTTAGTTTTCAAAGCACTAACAAATGTCATTGCATGTCACCTCTATGGTGATAGACAGTAATAAGAAAACTGGTGCCCTAGTGGAGCTACATGACTTGGCTAAGATCAGTCATCTAGTGTCTGGAGGAGCAAAGGCCAGCTCTTTTCAACTTCTGCCTTTGTCACTTTGCCAGGTAACTTTGTGTCACTTACTACTAATACTGTGTCCTTCAAAATGTGGAATATATTCTGAAAGTTTTTTAGAAAGCATGATTTTACATATAGTTCTCTTTAAACTGGATTTGGGTTTCTATGAAAGAAACAGAATACCTAGTCCCAAAGATAGATTCGAATGATTCCCTCAATTTGAGCCCTTAGGGTTTAAATTACTTAGGCAAGTGAATTATGATTTGAGTTCATCTGAGTAGCTGGAATGACAGACATTTTCCCTAAAGAGAATCTATCAGAGTAAACCCTGAGCAAAACTTGTTTGCACGTGGGAAATACTTGAGATGGCGCTCCGGGTCTATTCTGCTCAGCATGTGGGTATCTGGTTACAGCCCTTAGAAGACTGGCTTCGTAAAACACATACTCAGATATTCTGTTTTTGTTTCTTCAACTCTCCTTTTTTCATTCTTCCCTAACCCTTATCCTGCTCATGGAGATCTTGTTTTTAACAAATAAAAAAGAAAGAAAGTGTGGGGTTGGGAGAGGGTAGAGGCACAGAGCTCTGGACTGCAGTCTAGAAGGAAAAGGGCACGGAGCATAGGGAGTTCTGCACCCTTTCTGCACCCTTACCCCTTAATGTTCGGGGTTGATGGTCAGGCAGGACCCTGCTGGGCAGTGGCTTGAGAGGAGTTAGGGAATTAACGGGCTGCTCGCTTTGGAGACCTGACTGCTGGTTTTGCAGTGTCTGAGTCATATATGTGGTATCATTTGCAAGAGGAAAAGATTATATAGGCTAGTGGATCACTGATGTTTGTGTGACTCGTAGCTCTAGCTTTTCTTTTTATTTCTGTATCTTACCTGGCAGAGCCTTATTTAAGTTGGATCTTTAGGAATGTAGATGGGAAACGTCTAGTGTTTTTAAATGAATAATCCTTTGTTCCTTCTCTTCCTTTCTCATTTCATACTTGTGCAACATTAATTACTATATTTAATTTAAGGCTTCTGATTTTGTGTGCTTCTATTCCCACTGTAATAAGTATGTTTTTAGCAAGTTTCAAACATAACTGTATCTAGTTTTCTGCCATTTTTCTTTTTCATATATTTTTTTTCTTTCCCAGCTCTATTCTGTTAGGTAAATGTTATGTTATTTTAAAAATACTTTTATTGGTTGACTCAGCCCAGATACCTCTCATCAGAGCAGTGACATCATCATCCATAGCTCATAAACCTACTTTATTTTTCTCTAAAGAATATTCATAAAACTACAGTGGAAAAAATCAGTCAGAAGTACACACACACACACACACACATACACTAACTCATAACATGCATATATATCCACTCCCTTTGCGGTAGAAATTCTTTACTCTGTAAAGTTAACGCTGGTATTTTATGCATTTTTGACGTTTTATTAAACCAAACAGTTTTTATATCTGAGCCCTTCATATATTTATACATCTTTTTCTTCCTTGTCATTATCTGTAGGGAAGGGAACAAAACAAACCTGAATCTTCTCCACTGCACATTCAGAATCCTTTTGAAACTTCTCTCAACATTAGCAAAAATGTAAGTCAAAGTCAGCTGCAAAAATTTGTAGATCTGGCCAGAGAAAGTGCCTGGATTTTACATCAGGAAGATAAAGATCGCCTTTCGCCATCAAATAATCAGCCCTGGGGGCTGGCAGCCCTGCTGCTACCTTCTGTAGCAAATAGTATGTCTCTTGCCAAGAAGAAAAAGAAGCCTGCAAGTGAAAGAATTAAAAACTTGTTGGAATCCATAAAAAGTAGCAGTACGGAAAATTCCACAGCCACCAATGGGTAAAGAGCAGTTAGTACTCAGGCATAACGGCTGCTCCTTTGCTTTCAGAACTGGTTTTAACCTATAGGATAATCACTGGACTGCCTGGAAGAATGGTGTGAAATTCTGGCAGGTCACACTTTCATCCGATGTTTCTGTTTTCATGATCTTCTCATTGGGCCCCTTAAACTGGTCTGACATTCTGCGATGTTTTCAGTCTGAAAGCCAGTGGCACTGTATTAAAACGCCAGCCATGGGAACAGGTGAAAGAAGATTGGAATATACTTCAGATAAAATATACAAAGCAAGTGGGAAAAATCAGTTTTACAGTCAAACCATTGTTGAAATCTGCATCAGCCTCTGGGTGTAAATCATTTAGAAGGACTTCTAGGTATGTACATACGTAGGCAATGAATACAATGAAGCTGCAGAATTTGATAGTACTCTTTATTTTTGTATTCTTCAAAGTACTCTTATTCACATATAAATAAAAACAGATGGGTACTGATTTCCAAAAATGTTCATGTTTTTAAAACAGATGAATGCAGACACTTCAGTTACTACATTCTAGGTATTCTAAGCCAAATATATGAAAATACTAGTACACTGTATTTAAAAATATTACTTAGTTAATTTTTCTGTTTTCAAAAATAAAATCCTTTCTCTACTAGTATGTGGTATTGCCAATATTCCTTCACTTCTCTTTTAAGAATTCCTTTCTCCCTGTGGGAAATAGGTATATATTGAAATATTATTTCCATTACATTCCCTGTAGAGTAACTTCCAGTTTATGCAGCAAATATAGTGTTGGAAAATACACACTTGAGCCAGCTGACTTCACGGTGAATTACTCAGCCGCTTTGGGCCCCAGTTTTCTCTTCTGTTAAGTGGGGATGATAATAGTGCCTCCTTCACCAGATGGCTGTGAAGGTTAGGTGAGGCCCATAGGAAAGTGCAAGGTCATGGTCCTGGCACTTAGCACATGTTTGTAATGTTTGTGGTGTATAATTATTATTCTTGCTACTCAGAATACAGATGTAGCATTTGTACTGGTTTTCAGAATAGTTGCCCATCTAAATTTTAGGTCAGAAACTATAATGAGCCTGCTTGGGGCATTATGGGAAACTCATTAATAGAATTGTCATGAAGCAAGTAAGTTCTGTGCCCATGTGCCATGCTATTTGATTTCACATCTGAAACCAACAAACAGGCATCAGTGTTCTTCTATACAGGCGGTGTCCTTAAATTAAAAGCCGTTTTTCATTTGTTTTTTAATTAGGTTAATTCTGTTGGGCCGGAAATCTGTATTGAGAGTTAAAAAGAGGTTTAAAAAGCATAAATATTTAAGAGTTTCTAAATGAAATGATTTTTTTTTCTGTTCACAGATATTTGATTGGACATTTTCATTTTTTGGTTGGTGTTAAGTCTAAAATGGTCATTTAAGCACATAAAGTATATATATGTATGTTAGCACTTCTTTTCTTTTTTGTGATTTATAGAATAACTTTGACACTCTAGGTCTGTTTTACTTTTCAGAATGAGGTTTAATTATGGGATGAGTTTTAATCTACACTGATCTTTTTTTTTTATTTTTATTTTTTAAATTTATTTTTGGCTGTGTTGGGTCTTCATTGCTGCGCACGGGCTTTCTCTAGTTACGGCAAGCGCAGGCTACTCTTCGTTGCAGTGTGCGGGCTTCTCATTGCAGTGGCTTCTCTTGTTGCGGAGCACGGGCGCTAGAGCGCAGGCTCAGTAGTTGAAGAGCACGGGCTTAGTTGCTTCGCGGCATGTGGGATCTTCCCAGACCAGGAATTGAACCTGTGTCACCTGCATTGGCAGGCGAATTCTAAACCACTGTGCCACCAGGGAAGTCCCTACACTAATCTTTTAACATGAAGTTTTCATTCCAGTAAACTGCATATGACTACAAACAAATCTATTATATTTTTTCATAAGTTCATTGTATCACTTACCAAATTTTTAAAAGATAGTTTTTATTACATCTTAGGGGATAATCAGCAGTTATTTGTCATTTGCCATTTCTTAGTTAAAACGAATTGCAGCAACAAAGGTAAGGAAAAATTTTCAAGGTTTTTCTTTTCTAGCTGTTATGAGGCTTTCATCCACTCTCATGAACAATAAGTTTTATTCTCTGTGTGAAAGTAATTTTGATGTGAGCCAACCTGGATCAGATGGATTTCAGTATACATCATTCCTGATTTTATAGCCCACTAGTCTAATTCCTGGAGTTATTATCCGTTTTTAGGAAATCAGAGAATTGTCCAGACATTCTAGGAAAACAACGTATAATCTTTCTCATTCACAAACCTTCAGTCATCATAGAGAGGAAGAGAGGATAAAAACAGTTGCAGTTGGACTTTCTTCCTGCGATCATTCACTACTTAGCTCTTTGTTTTGCTCTAGGTGAGACCAGAATTAGACTGTTTCAAGTCACTTCATGTTCCTAGAAATCACTTGGCCTTAGACATACAGCTCTATTCAATTCGTCACAGCCTGCTGCTGCCACAGTAGGCAAACGCCACATTTACATGTATAATTTAAACCTGCACAGAGAACAGCTGCAGCAAAACCAGCAGAAAGAGCCACCAAGCAGTCGCAGCACGTCCGGGTAGCAGCTCTCTTGTCCACTCTCCAGAGTCTGGTATTCAGTTGGTGAGTAGCTGTCCTAGTGTCTCGGTTCAGCCCCTTCAGGAGCCGTTGTGGGAGGGGAACATTCAAAACGCTGTAGCAAGGAAGAAACCGTTTCTACCGGAGATAGAAGAGGCCGATGTTCATCAAATAGAATAGGGTAGGCCTTGAAGGAACTGTAATCCCTGTAGACCGAAGGAGGGGCCATAGGGATTATCGTTCTGGCAGCAGAAGGCAGTGTAAATGGGAGTCAGGAAGACAAGCAAGTTTGGAGTGTGGGCCGCCTGACTGGCTGGGGCAGGGTTTTTGCTGTGATACTCAGAGAGTCGAGGTTGAGCGAGATGGTGAAGGACAGCGAGTTAAGGAGGTTGAGTATACTTTCAGCGGTAAAGCATTGAAGGTTTTTGTGTACGAGAGTAATAAAAGTTAAAGCAGTACTTTAGATGATTAATCTGTTGATACCAAGTAGTTATCAAGCGCCGCTGCTTTTTTCTTCGCAAATTTGAGTACCTTAGGTTCCATCATTGAGTTAGATAAAATTTGGCTGTTAAACTTTCCACACAGGTCCAGAAGCTGACTCTCATATACCTCGCAAGAGTATTTAACAAGAAGGCAAAGTTTAAGTGGCTTAGAGCCATCATCAGGAAATACCATCAGGTCATGGTATGTAATTTTATGTAAAGCCTCTTCCTATGAGAAATTCTTTGCAGTATATACTTGGACAGGAATGAAAACATGATCAGAAGCCACTTTTCACCTTGGGATGATGTTGGAAATGTTATTTTAAATACTTGAAAGGCTTATTTTGGTTTCCATGCTGAGTTCTATTTCTTGTGGATACATATTCCAACGAATATAAACATTACAGTGTTCCTCTGGAATTCCCATGGAGCAACTCCCAGAAAATGTCTATTTTAGGTGGAATCTTTAATCAGAAATATCTATGATACAGGATATATAAATCACCACAAACTATTTTAAAAATACACTATTTATATTTCAAATGTGATCCCTTATGTTATCTGTGTGTATGTGTATCCACCCAGCTTTAAGTGCTCAGTGGAAGTCATTATTCACTTTTTCTGTCTACTTTCAGATGAATACATTTAAACTTTTTTTTTTTTTTCACGGCAAAGTTTCTAATCTTTTAGGATGGGGCGCTGAGATGTTTTAAAGAGAGTATTGGAAAGATGGGATTTGAAACAGTAAATGTTACATTGTGAAGAATACATAGTATGGTAAAATACCTAATTTGGAATAGAGCAAGTCCAACTTAATGAAAAATATAAATTATAAATGATATTTTCTGGGTTTATTTTGAAGTATGACACATTGAAAACTTACTACAATGGATGCCGTCAAATAAAATGGAGCAGGTTAATGAAAGATTACAAATTAGGTTTGTGTTATGTTCTGTGTCACCAGAATTCATTAACGTGTCAGGCACAATGGAAGTCATACATTTTGAAGCTTCCTATTACAGAGTTACTGGTACTTGGCTTAGATTAATGGAGCCTAATGATTAGAGTTTTAATAAATCTTTGCTAAACTTACACATGGGCTCGGAGAGTGGTGTGAAATAACATTAACATCTCTTTGTCTCAAAAACTGAGTAAAAGGTGGATTATGAAGCTGGCTGATGTCTTGCAGTGGAATTTGAAACTCAAAGCCTGATTTTTTTTTTTTTTTTTTTTTTACTTCACGTGAGATGTGTATTATAATTCTATAGATACGCCTGCCAGTATAAAACTAGCACAAGCTTCACCTTGTTTTTCTTCTTTAGCAATTAATTTTGGTGATTTTAGAAGGATTGTTTGTTTATGATTTATGTGATAATGTCCCCTTTTCCCCCAGTTCTCTAATCAAACCTAAAGTAAGTATCTTTGGCATTTCCCTGCTTGATTCTTGGCATCACTGGTTGTAAAGCTCAGTTACCAGGACTGAGTGGTCTTTTTCAGCTTTATGTAACTGAGTTTTCTAAAAAGAGGATTACAGCATTTTTCGTGTGTTTTTTATTTGATCAAAATATTTTTATATTCTGATTTCTTTCTTTTTTAAAAAAGTGATGACTAGAATAACGGTGAGCAGTGGCACTTCACTTATCTTAAGTGGTAAGATGGGTTCAGATGAACACATTTTTCATATAACACTGATGTCCAGAGCTTCATCCTCATCTCTGGACATAGGACTCTGTCAAACGATTATTTTAGTCCCATCTCTAGAACTTCATCATTATTGTGCTTTACTGGACTTTGTGCTTTACTTCCAATTCAACCTGTTTTGTTTTTTTTATTATTTATTTATTTATTTATTTAGGCTGTGCTGGGTCTTCATTGCAGCACGTGGGCTGTTCGTTGCAGGATTCTCTCTAGTTGTGGTGCACGGGCTCAGTAGTTGAG